CATTGTCCGTCCTTTATCTCACAACGTTCCAGCCAATAATTGATACCCTGCACACAGTCCCCGAGTGGCTGGAAGTCGCCCAATCAGTTCACGCAAAAGCGTGTGTTCAACCTGCGTTCTACGCAAATGTAATTCCGGATGGCGACCTTCAACATTCAGCGCACGAGTTGGCATTGAAATGATTCATCGCAACGTTGACCTCGCATGTGTGGGTCAAACGCATATTGCGGACAGTAGGAGGCAAATAAATCATGCACTGACTTATCAATCAGTTTGTTGTTCTGCCTCTTACGTCATTATATTCGCATTCATCGTAAAGAACGAGATTAACTCGTTTTAGACCTATTTGTACAACAATCCCTGATATAATATAGTCGATAACTTCTTGTCATGAATACCGCTCTCTGCTCCGCCTCATATATCAGCTTTCTTTGCACAATAAGAGCTTTGCACCATTCGTAATTAGAACCGTTTCACAAGCAGACAGTAAATAACTGGGTCCGCTCCGTGCACTATGTCCACTGGACAGGGGAGAGAAAAATAAGTGTGAAGGAGTGAGTAGTAGAGCCTTTGACAGAGGCAACTTTATAAACCTGTCGATGTATCAACAGAAATAAAGATCATTTGGAGAAGTGCGATGTGACATGATTCGACAGAAAACAATTCCAGACACCATCGCCTGTGACCCGCTCCTTTACCAGCTAAATTAATCACAGTTGCGGTGGTGTGGACGCATGGTCAGCGTGTCCAACAAGAAACTCTCATGACAGGATCTCTTTGCAATGTCGCGTCGTAAGCAGCAGGGAGAAAGCCATATAATTCAGTAAATTGGACGTCTGTTAGTGCCACTTGTTTGAATCCGAATCATGGACGTTCCCGTTCCCGACTGGCAGAGGCTCGGGGCCGCTGATAGAAAGTTAATGGACTATTGGTAAATCCACCGCTTCCGCAACTCGAAAGAAACAGTGGCTGTGAAAATGAACGAAAGAATTCATGAATGTCTCTGCATTTTTAATGATGCATACTTGTTCTAAAAATGGACAACTTAAAATGCCGTAGGTCTGATGCCAGATTATCGGATTACTCTCTCAATACTGCGCTTTCCTGCTGCTTGTATAATAAGTTATACGAGAAAATGCTGCGCTAACAAAATTCTCGATAACTTCAAGGTTTCATGTTCCATTCCACTTTCTTGTTGTTTTTATGATCTGTGTTATGATAGAATGATTAGATAACAAAATTTTCTGACTTCAAGGGCTCAGGTCTCATCCATTTCGATAGTATGTAAGAACGGCTAAAATAAGGGAATGAGTAATAGCGTGAAGACTATCAACTGAAACTCTCGACTGCTGCTGACGACC